GTTCGGTTATTTGCTTAATAACCGAACGGTTGAGGAAGTTGAATAACCGTTCGGGTTCGGTTCGGTTCGGTTAATAACCGAATAACCGCGGTTAACCGAACGGTTATTGAGTTTTTTAAATATTTTAATTTTTATCCTCATTATTATTAGTATTATTTTTTTATACTTCACTTTTAGCCTTATATATTTCACCCAATAAACCATAAAATGTAATGTTTTTAATTTTTATCCTAATTATTGAAGTTTTTAGATTTTTTTATAATTTTATTTTACATGATTAATCATTTTGTGCATTTATTTAAATAGATATTTTGAAATTTATGTAGGATTAATAATGTTTTTTAAAAAAATATATCATAACCGAACCGAACCGATCTAAAACCGAACCGAATAAACCGAAAAATATAACCGTTTGGTTATAATTTTATTATGCAAAAACCGAGCCGAACCGAACCGAAACCGAACTGAACCGAACCGATTAAATCTATATAACCGTTTGGGTATGATTTTTTTATAACCGAAATAACCGAACCCGAAATAACCGAACCGAAAACCGAACCGAAACCCGAAATGGCCACCCCTATGTCCAGGAAGGTGGAAACAGACAGAAAGCAGATCCAAAAGCTGATGTAAACTATCTTATAAAAATAAATAAAATGAAGAATAGTTGCAAAATTGCAAAAATATCTATAAGAAATAACAGGAAGAAGACGATGGAACTAAGACCTACTTCTCCACTAACTTAACTTGTCTTGTCTATACTTCCCATACCCTAAAACCTAAAATACTCGTGGAAAAACTATACACATTAACAGGGATGTTGGAGCAGCCCATACCCACACTCGGTTCGAAGGTTTTGGATTCCGGTTCGGATCGGTCCGATTTTTTTTTATCTATATAATCAAACCCGAAATCTGATTTGAGATCAGACTGAACGAGTCTGCTCAATTCCTTTGTAATTTTCTTGTTTTTTTATTCAATTATTTTTTAAAAGAAAATATCAATCTTTCTTATCGGTCCGAATCGGGTCCGAAATTCGAATCGAGTGTGACCCGAAAATTCGAGATTTTTCGGATGGGTTCGCAGCAGGATTCGAAGCTCGCACCTAAATTGACACCCCTACATATAAGCTACTTATTTATGCATATTATATTATTCCAAAATTCAATTTAACACAAAAGACAAGAAATTATGTACGTTGTTTGAATGAATGACAAAAGTTTCTAATTAAAACTAGTTTGATTAAATTATTGCTTATAAGAAAATTCACGATTTCTAATCTAAATGTTATGGGGACAGAGACATTAGTTGGGGAATAGAAAATGAAATAAGAATTCGACCTCCAACTAATAAAAACAAAACGTTTATTTATATATTAAATTTATGTTTGCGTAACAGTTAAAATGAATACATAAGAAAATGGTTTTTAATTATCATAAAATGGACAATTTAATTAGCCCTTTTATATATTATAATACGATTGCAAGGGTGAATTGTTATAGGAATTTTGCTCCGTACAACATCAATAATCGTAAAAGTTACTTCTAATGAATTAGCTTTTGAGATTTAATTATATTGATCCCAAAGTTGCACGTTACGTCGACTCTCAGTCAAGGAACGGATAAATTTTTAACATACCAAACAGAAATTTTAGTCAAATTTCAAATCAAAATTTGTGTCCTATATTAATTAAAAGAATGGAATTTAAATACATAAAATATTTTTTTGCAGAATTCTTAAGTAGTAGAAAACGAGGGAGGTGTTACTTATCTTCAAAACGTAAATACACAACGTCTGTTATTATAGGATAAAGAAAAAAACAATTAAATACAAATAATATCGACACATAAATTCTGTACAGATATGTGTAGAAATTTTGAAAAAATTTTAAAGGTAAATCAAGATATTTGGAGACGTAAGTATACAACAAAATCAAAGCTGAAAGATCATTAAAAAAATATTTTTATTAAATTTTCCAACACAATAAATAAGAATAAAAAGCATGTAAATACGATGTATATACGCGTGAATTCTCTATAATTTATGATTTAAAAAAAATAAATCCCTATATTTAAAGACGCAAGCACAAGAAAATCGAAAGACAGAGACCAGAATTATACACTCCACCATGATGGGTTCATCATCATCTCATACAACCACAATCCTCCGAATCGCAGTTTTCCTACTCGTTTTCCCTCCCATTCTCAGCAATTTTCCTCCTAACCAAACACTCATTTTCTCTCTCAAAACTCAACATCTCTCTTACTCTTCTTCGACCATCCAGCGCCTCTCTGCTTCATCATCTTCTTCCGACAAGCTCTCGTTCAGACACAATGTCACTCTCACCGTCTCCCTCGCCGTCGGGTCGCCGCCACAGAGCATCACGATGGTTCTCGACACCGGAAGCGAGCTCTCATGGCTTCACTGTAAAAAAGCTCCGAACTTGAGATCCGTTTTCGACCCGATTCGCTCTTCTTCGTATTCACCCGTTCCCTGTTCCTCACCCGTTTGCACGACTCGGACCCGGGATTTACCCATACCCGCTTCGTGCGACACGAATGCCAATCTCTGCCACGTGGCAATCTCCTATGCCGATGCTTCCTCCATCGAAGGCAACCTGGCTCACGACACGTTCGTAGTCGGGTCCAAGACCCGACCCGGTACGGTTTTCGGCTGCATGAATTCCGGTTTCAGCTCGGATTCTGAGGAGGACGCGAAAACCACCGGTTTAATGGGCATGAACCGGGGGTCGTTGTCGTTCGTTAACCAGATGGGTCTCTCCAAATTCTCGTACTGCATCTCGGGTTTCGACTCGTCCGGTATTTTGCTTCTCGGAGACGCGAGTTTCTCGTGGCTAGGGCCTCTCCAGTACACGCCACTGGTTCGGGAAACGACGCCGTTGCCGTACTTCGACCGGGTCGCATACACGGTCCAATTGGAAGGAATCCGGGTCGGATCGAAAATGCTCCCTTTACCCAAATCGGTATTTGTACCGGATCATACCGGAGCCGGTCAGACGATGGTTGATTCCGGTACGCAATTCACGTTCTTGCTGGGCCCGGTTTACAAAGCCCTGAGAAACGAGTTTCTCCAGCAAACCAAATCCGTTCTGAGAGTCGTGGACGACCCGAACTTCGTGTTCCAAGGTGTCATGGACCTCTGTTACCGGGTCGGACCGGGCCGGACCGATTTCAACTCGTTACCCAAGGTGAGTTTGATCTTCCGCGGCGCGGAGATGAGCGTGTCGGGTCAGAAGCTCTTGTACCGAGTTCCCGGGTCCGAGTCGAGAGGGAGGGATCAGGTGTACTGCTTCACGTTTGGGAACTCCGATCTGTTGGGAATAGAAGCGTTCGTGATTGGTCATCATCATCAACAGAACTTGTGGATGGAGTTTGATTTGGCGAAATCAAGGGTTGGATTTGCTGAGATCAGGTGTGATACAGCAAATCAACGGCTCAGATCGCTTGTTTAGATTTTTTTTATTTTCTGTAATGCACACTTCGTATGTACATTTGTACAAACAGACAGGCACTTTGTTTGGTCGAAGAATCTCAAGTACTGACACCCACCCACTTTGATGTGATGAATATACTATAGAAAAAAAAAAGGATATAATATAAACCACTATAAAAAATTAACATTTTAATCAACAAAAATAGAATGAATATAGGCCTTTATATTTGTTCAAGGCTTTGCATTTGCCCTTGCCCTTGCCCTTGCCTTGACCTCTTGTCTTTCCTCTGTTTCTTCAGTGATCTGCATTCATCAAACATGATAAATACATATTGTTATGGCTGCTTCAACACAGTAATCAGTGGTGTAGTAATGCTTTACTCAAGCCATGCTCTCTCTCCTTAGAGACAGTTCCCACACACAAGAAACCCTTTCTTGGCCTGCAAGCTACTAACTCCACCTCAAAAATCAAATCAACTTTGGTCCACTGCCGAGAAAACCGTTAGCGAAACCGTCAAAAGCAAACGCAAAGCCAATAAGGAGGCGACCCTTGCACTACCATAAACATATCCCGACTTACAAGTGATCTTTGCAACTTCTTCGACCTGAAAAGAGCTAAGAGTAAGTTGTCTAGAAGATCACAAGTCAATCCGAAAAGAATGAAAGAGAATGAACCCTTCATGGTTCAAAGAAGAATATCGTGTTGTTTTCAAGTCGCGTGTAGTATCGAAGACCTTTTTCGTCTTCAGACAATACACCCTCGTACGGAACCACATTGCCAGGATACCATGTTGTAAACCCGTGAGCATGCTAAGCTGTGGTGCCAAAAACACGCAGACCAACTCTCCATAAGTTCCTGAAACCAGTCTTTATGAATAACCCCCGAGTATAAAACCAACAGCATAGAAAAGTTTCCCTGGCTCGAGCCATTTTAGAGGCAACCACTTTTCTTCTGATTGGAAGAAAGCCAACACCCGGAACAAAGAAACAGATCAATGCACAAGTTCAGTCTACCGATCAATCCCAGTAACGTACCATCTACAAAGAGGAAGATCATTCGATCGTGAAGACTGTATACTCTATTAGGAATTATGACGAGTTTCAGTTCGTGTGAAATTTAGATATTAATGTGTTTCCTATTTGGATTAGATTTGTCTATTCTTATGGTTTCCTTCACGACACCATCATCTCCGTTCAAATCAATCGCATCGCCCATGGCTTCAGAGGCTCACGGGAAATCTACTTCACCAGCATTCACATATATGCAAGGATCATGAATGTGTGTGAATGAAGATGTACTATATGTATATACCGCCATACACGCCTATATACAACACACCCTACCTATGTACACCACCTAGGAGTAGAATATGTACACGCATATATAGACATTGTACACGCATATACACACTGTATCTGTATGTATGCCATCAAATCACAACCACAGCAAGAAAGAAGCGTATAAAACATTATACACAATCATACACACAATATTTGTGTATCAGAATCAGACTGACATTTCTACAATTGCCTCTTTGTAACTCCTTAAACCCAAGTTCAATTCAACATGAAGAAGAAGAAGAAGAAGAAGAAGAAGAAGAAGAAGAAGAAGAAGAAGAAGAAGAAGAAGAAGAAGAAGAAGAAGAAGAAGAAGAAGAAGAAATAGAAGAAGAAGAAGAAGAAGAAGAAGAAGAAGAAGAAGAAGAAGAAGAAATCAAACAAATGGATGATTCGGAAAACCCTAAGCTTAGTGAAAAACAAAGTCAAAATTTTTCTCGAAATCAACCTCATGAATTTCCTATCTAGAACCACGAAATGGAAATTGAAGAAGCGGACGCTCGAACTGACCCGAATCCGAGGAAGAGGAAGAGAAATTGGATCCAATAGGAACCGGGAGAAGTGTGTTGAGACCTCGGAAGACCCGATGGAGATGAAAACGGCGGTGAGATCGTTGCCATAGACTGTCCCAATGAAACCATGAATCTCCCGGATTCGATTTCTTCTACCGTCTCTCCATGGGTGTCTTTGCTTCCACGCGCTACTAGCCGCGTGTGACCCATTCTCCGTTCCCACGTGTAATTGGGGATTTGGCATAATCGGATGATTTGAAAAAAAGTGTGATGTATCATCAACATTGAAATGGACATAATTTTATTCCGTTTATAAATATATAGAAAATTGAAACCCATTTTTTTTATTTTGTTTAGAATTTCAGAAATTTTTAAATTTTGGTTTAAATTTTTGTCAAATTAAAAATTGATATAAGAAAAAAAAAACAGTAACAAAAATTTATCTAGAAATATGGGGTTTTTTAAAATTTTAAAAATATATGTTTTTCTGATTCACGAGTCTGCTCGTTGAAACGTCGAGCGCTTTCTGTCACCGTACGATTAGCATTGTATTATGACACGTGTTGTTTTATGTACGTTGAGGCGCATATTACATTTTAGTACCGGCCGCAGAGAATTCAAATTTAACTTATATGGGCCTTCAGAAATGTAGAATTACAAATAGGCCCATATGATTGTGCCCTAGAAAAATCAGACAAAAGGATCTATTGAATTCATTTGTGTTGTGCATCTATGGTCTTGAAATAATGGTAAAAAATATTTTGAACTTGAAAAAAAAAAACATTAGCATAGGATTCCATGTTAGCGGATATAATGATTGTTGTTATTAGCATGTATTTGGGATTCCTGTCGGTTTGGTTTGAGATTTTCGTGAAAAAGTATATTATTATGCTTTTATTGTCGAATATTGACTTTGTTTAATACTATTTGCATTCGATTTTCGTTGAAATATTCATTTTTTATTTTTTTATGTTTATTCAATCATTTTATATTTAACAAGGATGTAGGTTAAAATTAATTAATTTAATTAAAATAATTATATCCGCTCGATTGATTTCATAAAATTCCATTTGTTACACATTGTTCGATTTTGTTATGCTTCGGTTTTCGATAAGCAAATGAACTTCCCAATCATTTAAACAACTGTTTAGATTACCTCTCAATGACTTTTTCTTTTGGTAACCGGATATTCTAGATCAAGGTTCGAACTAATCCTGAGATCGGGAGTCAGTTATGTGATTTAGATTATACGTTTTTTTTTTACAATTTTGAGATTCGAATTCAGGGTAGGACAGATATTTTACACCTCGTTTCACCGATTAAAGTAACCAAGTTTGGGTTAGTTTTCAATGACTTTGAACAAATGTATGTAGGGGTGGATACAGATCGGATATCCGGAGTTTTTCAGGTATTTGTATCCGTATCCGATCCGTACAAATATCAAAATTTGTTATCCGTATCCGATTCGTAGTTTTCAGATATCCGTAATTTCGGATATCCGTAAAAACTACGGATATTTACAAATATCCGTATCCGATATAAAAATAACAAAAATGAGAAATAAAATAAAAAATTCAAACACATATAAAATATATAATCCATCGAATAAAAAACTAAATTCAAACTTAAAATACATAACATAAATATAAATCGATTATAAGTCTCACACACATATACATCAGAAAAAATAAAAAATTCTCAAATCCGATTCTGAGTTAAGAGAAAAATATAATAAAACAAATGAACTGCAAATATCGATCGTAATCAATGAAATCTTTCTATGAAAAACACATATAACCAACGAAATCTCCAAACCCGATTCAGACTGTTCAAAAATGGAAAAATAGCAGAGAAAATGGATTGAGAAAGTAGTTGATTAGAGATCAATAAGGTTGATCGATAGAGGTTCAAAGGATCATAAAAAATGCGGATTATCAAGGAAAGAAAAAGAGAGAGCAAAAATGGCAGATTAACTAGGAAAGAGAATACGAAAGAGAGAGAGAAAGAGATAGAGGAAGGCGGAGAACGCTCAACGGAGGAAAAGAAAAGGAGTAACAAAAACCCAAACATATTTTTTATTTTTACAAAGAGACCCTTATAAATAAACTAATTACCAAATTAACCATATATTATTAATATTATTAAAAAGTACAGATCGGATCGGATATGTCGGATAATTCTATTTTGATATCCGTATCCGATCCGTATCCGACAAATATTTTGAAACTAATATCCGTATCCGATCCGTGAACTCCGGATATCCGAATTTTCGGTTCGAATACGAATCGAATAACGGATCGAATCGGTTTTTTCGGATATTATGCCCACCCCTAAATGTATGGACCTTTGTCTCCCTTAATTAAGAAGAAATTTTTTTTATCAAAAATAAAATAAAAAGGTCTAAACGGTCCACAAGCAGGTTGATTGTTACATATATATATTACATCTATCTTTCCTTTTATTCCTATGATAACCAGTCTCCTAATCATTTGTGATTCAAGAGTCTCTTGATGAATTATTTTTTTTATAATCCGAAAATTTATCAGAACTTTTGAATTAACTATATTTTTTATATTTTTTAAAGGATTGAAAAAATCTATATGAATACTTTTCTCTAATAGAAACTCGAATCAACTATATTTTTTATATTTTTAAAATGATTAGAAAAATCTATATGAATACTTTTTTCTAGTAGAAACTCTAATTTAGATTGTGAATGAAATTTACTTCCAAAATTTTCAGTGAAATTTTTTTGACCTATACAAATAAATATTGGATCATTTTTTTATACCTCGAGTTGGCATATACTGATTGGTTATAAGGAGATTTTCCGTTCTCATGCACGTTCAGACCTTGTTCACTTTCATTCCATATGCATTCAAATTGCTGAAAAAATATCAAACAACATATTATATATATTATGAATCCAACGTCACATATACTTTCTCAATTTTTTTACGTATTATTTAAAAGGAAATTAAACTATAATCCGATTTTTTACATAAAATTATAAATAAGTAGCCATTAAATCAATATTCCATATTTCAGAAACACCACAGCAAAGTTTCAAAAAATATATGAATATATTAAATCAAAATTACAAAAATGTTACAGAATATTTAAATTTATGTATTACTAATTTTGTTATTTAGCTTATATTTCTTTATTATATTAGAATATTCTTGTAATATAATATATATATATATATATATATATATATATATATATATAAAACATATGACATGCCTTTATTCGGTGTAAAAAATATTCAAATAAAAATTTTATATTACATTTACATTTCTAAATTGACAAATAAAATACCAATGAAATTTTCATGAAGCATATTTATTGTCTCTCCTATCAGTAGCTTCTTCGATTACAAAAATATAACGACAGACTTACCAACAATGATTTGCAACAGTGTAAACTGTAAAATTTCAAACTCATATATATATATATATATTGTAAACATAAGTGACTTCGTTTATTTTTAAATTAAAATTAATTGGTCCATCTTTTTAGAGAATCTCTTATGGAGACAGATGAAGATTGGAGGTTAAGTTAGTTGATAGCTAGTTAGGCTTTCGAACAAGCACAAAGTAATTCTAGTTTTGCCTTTGTTTTATGATTGTTTTTGTTTGGAGCCCTACAAAGGGAATCGCGTTTTCCCCAAGCAATATCTTTCGTACGATGTCGATTCCTCATATTTTTCATTGTAACCCCCTTCAAATGTTACGGATATTGAAACTGTCTCCAACGATCTATCAAGAGATACGGATATTGAAACTGTCTCCAACGATCTATCAAGAGTTATGAAGAATATTATAAAAAAATCATCAGAAAAGATTTGAAAAATAATATTAATATTACTCTGACAGCTCATGATAACGTAGAAGGGTTGAGAGTGATCGTCGGTGCGAGAGGTATAAACAAAAAGTGGCTCATAACGAACGTCTGGATATGGGGTATAGGGATGAATCGAACACACCGGAATGAGAGATATCTGAGGATTGTAGAGGTATGAGACTACACAGTCAAAGATAACTTAAATGAATTGATTGAGTTATTCATAACAACAAGATGCATCTACATTTTCGGTTGCCCATCTCGAGAGAACTCCAAAGTTAAGCGTGCTCGCTTTGGAGTACTCTTATTATGGGTGACCTTTTAGGAAGTACTTTTCGGGATGTATGTGAGTGAGGACAAAACACGCTAAAAGATCTCGTGTTGGTATGTGAAGACATCTTTGACATTCCGTAGCGGCCTCGGATCGTTATAAATGGTATCATAGCCGGTTTTATCCTAATATGATATGGTTCGAAGACGAACCAAACGGAAGCTAGTGGGCATGTGATAGCCCAGGATACCGTAGGAGAGCGGAGAGTGATCGTCAGTGCAAGAGACACGGACAAAGAGCGGCTCCTGACGAGCTTCTGGGTAGGGAGTACATGGATGCATCGAACGCACCAGAATTAGAGAAAACCGAGGGTTGTGTAGGTATGAGACTACACAATCAAAGATAACATAAATTAAAAAAATTGATTGAGCTAATCATAGCAACAAGATGCATTAACTTTTTCGGTTACCCCTCTCGAGAGAACTCCAAAGTTAAACGTGTTCGCTTTGGAGTAGTCTTGAGATGAGTGATCTTCTGGGAAGTACTTTCCGGGATGTGTATGAGTGAGGACAACACACGCTAAAAGATCTCGTATTGGTGTGTGAGGACAATTTTGACATTTCGTAGCGGTTTCGTGTCATTATAAATACTAAATATTTCGATTTGATATTATTTGTATATTTTGGATATTTATATTGATTAAAAAATATTATGCGATACACATACTTGATTTTGTAGCTCACAATTAGCAATCCATGCGTACTTTTGTTTTACGTCTTGTAAAGTGTAGCAAAGACGCAGTAATTTTTTTTCCCCATTATTGCATGTCTTAAGCAATCACATCATTTGTTCTCAAAGTAAATGTGGGTTCGACCAACTTCTATAATATTAGGTTTCTGTGATTATATTTAATTACTTTATAAATTGCATCAAACCCGATTTATTTTCTTTTACCCTAGTTCAATTTTTTCTATTTATATAAATAATATATGCTAATAATTATAGAATAATATTTAGATAAAAAAAATATGAAAGAGGGGTAAGGGGAAAAAAAGAAAGGAAATAGAAGAAAAACAAAATTAGATTAAAACAATGGATATTGTTATTTTGGACAATAAAAACACAGTAAAAAAAAGTATAAATACGCTTTTTAAAGAAGGTTTTTTTATTATTATTTCAGTACATTTAAATGGAACATCCCTTTGAATCTCAGATAAATACACTTTTTAAAATCTGGAATAGGTGAGAAAATTAGAACTAAGTTAGGATAAGCCCCGACTCAGTTGGAAAGTGAGTACCCCTCCTTATATGAGATGTTGGGTTCGATTTCTTTTGATGTTAAATTTTCTTCAGCCGGTCAGTTTCGATTGATTTAACTTTTCCGTGTGGTTTGCCGGTTGTTACGTAGGGTCATGGAAGTTTACTGTCCACGATACTGTGTCATTCATTCGGCCCTTGAGAGAGGGATGTGAGGCGTTTCGGTATCCGCTCCAAAGGATTATAGCGCAGATTCTCCGACGTATAAAAAAAATAGAACTAAGTTGTCTATTTCACATATGACATGCCTTTATTCGGTGTAAAAAATATTCAAATAAAAATTTTATATTACATTTACATTTCTAAATTGACAAATAAAATACCAATGAAATTTTCATGAAGCATATTTATTGTCTCTCCTATCAGTAGCGACAAAATATTGATTATTTAATACTGTTATTTGGGTTCATTTCGTTTAAAAAAAATGACTATGAAATAAGAGAAATGTAATGTATCGTGAAATGAAAAAAAGAGACAATTATTGTTATAATTTCTGAAATCATTAAGACTATCAAATATGAACTATTATTATTTAAAGATAAATTAGAGAAACTCTACGTAAATTTACAAAAACACATCTATAGTTAAACTTATGGTATTTTAACATAAGTCTTTTTGGTTTTAATTTAATGTGAACCGAGGGAACTTTGATTATCACACTTTGCTAATTACATGCTCCGATGAATGCGGGCAATCCGGGCCCACTTATTTCCATCGTACAATTTTTCTTTTAAATTTTAAAACTTTGGCGGGTAAATATTTGGATTAAATAATCTGTTATTTTTATATTGAATTTACATTCGGACACAATTTTCTAACACCTAATAATCTAATATCTTTTTTTTTTGTCTTGGCTCGTTTAAAATTTATTTGCTACAGCTGGTAAATATTGTGCGGCAAGTAGTAATTTTTTTTACTGTGATCGAAAATAAATTCAATAATAATCTTTTTTTTAAACATAATTGATATTGATTTAGTAAAGTACCATGTGTTTGTGATTATTGATATTTTCTTATGTCTGTAACCGAATAAATCTTAAAATAAATTCCACAAGCGATAAAATACGAATGGTGCACTACGCACGAAGGACAAATTTGATAAGATAAAAAGATTGGGGTCAAAAGCAAAAGCCAAAAGATATTGGGGAGCGCAACAAAAAATACATTCTTCGTCGATTGATTTATGCCTCAACTTGCATTCTAAGCAAAGTTGTTTTCATTTGCTCTCTTTTGTATCAAATCTATAAATATATGTACCTGTGATTATATATATATATACACGTGTGTGTCTGTGTGTGTATCGCGTGCTATCTATTTCTATGGCCAATTTGATTAATAATGAAATAATTGAATTAATCTGAATAGAATAGAATATGACATAAAAAAATATTTTTTTTCTGGATTTTTTTTATTATTTTTGTGATTTCGATTCATTTGACTTAAATAATTTTTAAAATAGTTATACATTATTCGATTTATTTTATATATTTGAACAAAATAAGTGCCTTATACATATGCATTCATGTAAACCGACGGTTGATCGTCAAAAATCTTTTTTATATTTAAAACGGTATTATCCGCCAAATAAAAAAATGAAAAAAAAATAAAAAAGAATATTATATTTTTTTGACATTCCATCTGATGGGCCAAGCGTCACATGCATTTTTTTTTTTTGCATAAACTATTGAAGAAGAAAAAAAAAACCTCAAAACCAACGAAGGACCATAAAAAAGTCAAATGGCGCATTCTTATGGAACTCCTAAAATCTTGAATTTTCTTGTATAAATATATCAACTTTGTAATGTATCTCAATATTTATACATGTTACATGACCAATGTTTAATCTGATGTATTAATTAAAAAATATAGAGACTTTTAATCTAAGAAATATATACACCAAATATTAAAATGTATTAAAAAATATATCTGAAGAGTTAAACTATTTTTTAGTTCATTTTAACATTTAATATATTTATTCGTAAAACTAAAAGTTTGTATTTTTTTTAACATATTTACAAAATTGGTATATTTTTTTATTGAATTATACCTTTAATTACACGGACCACGGTTCAAAATGGCCTTCATTGTTATGCAAACAAATAGCCTCACATGATTCAAATATTAGTTCTGTTATAACCTGTGTGTTTTATTTAGGCGGCGTTTTTCGAGTTGTTTTTGGAATTCAATTTTGTTATTTTATTTTTTAAAATTTTATCAATTCAAAAAAATTTATATTGGATTTCAATTCGGTTTTATAAAAAAGAATATTTTAAAAAAAAAGAATTTTTGTTTCAAATTCTGTTTTATTTAAAATATTAATTAAATCTAAGTATATTTAATATATAATACCTAAATGGAATATTTTGGTTATGTTTATATTTTTAAACCATTTTCTTAAGAAAAAGTGAGAAAACTATAAAAATAAATAAATTAGTTTAAACAACAAACTGAAGACTTCGAGCTCCACCTTCCATAATAATGTATTTTCTTTAATTTGTTTTAACCGTAAAGTTGTATTTCGGCCAATATCTCTCTCTCTCCAACTATGGAGTTTCCCTCTCTATAAATACCAAACCTCACTCGAGCTTCCTCCATCATCTCCTCCACAACCAAAACCAAAGCAAGAACACCCTTTTAGCACCAATATTTCTTCTTCTTCTTCTTCTCAAATCATACAAACACTGGAAACGATGGAAATGAGACAGAGAATTCTCCTAAACACGTTGCCTCTCTTTGTGCTCTTCTTCAGCTTCGCCGACGCCAGAATCCCCGGCGTCTACTCCGGCGGCGCCTGGCAAAGCGCCCACGCCACTTTCTACGGCGGTAACGACGCCTCCGGCACCATGGGTACCCTCCCTCCCTCCCTCTCTCTCTTTTATTCGCATGTTTTGTACCGGCACTCTCTGAAACAAGACAGAGAATGTCGTTTTATTTCACAACAGTTAAACTGATCGTGGGGTTTGGTTTACTGACAGGCGGTGCGTGCGGGTACGGCAACCTGTACAGTCAAGGCTATGGCGTGAACACCGCGGCTCTGAGCACAGCTCTGTTCAACAATGGCTTCAGCTGCGGAGCATGCTTCGAGATCAAATGCGCCGACGACCCTCAATGGTGCCATTCGGGAAGCCCTTCCATCTTCATCACCGCCACAAATTTCTGCCCTCCAAACTTTGCTCAGCCCAGCGACAATGGCGGCTGGTGCAACCCTCCTCGCGCTCACTTCGACCTCGCCATGCCCATGTTCCTCAAGCTCGCCGAGTACCGCGCAGGAATCGTCCCCGTCTCCTACCGCAGGTAAAATTCAAACCCACATTCCTAAAAATCCATGATATTCAGAACAAGAGCAAGATTCTGAGTCACGTGCGTTGTCGT